AAGAACGTCTGGCCGAGCTCAACAAAGCACGCTAGTGGTTCCTCTTCTGTGTACCAACTGGCGCCAATTCGAAATGCCAAGTCCTTCTCCACCTGATCTTTCCATCGCAGAGAAGGCCTTCCTCTTCCTTTGTTACCACCATCACGACCCGCAGAGTATATATTTACTTTGAGAGCTGGAGCATTTCTGTCCATATTCGTACGACATAACTAACAAGAGTTATTGGCTTGGGTAGTTGCATACATTGACATAGTTATCAGTGTATGGAAAAGCGCGGCTTGATTTCACTTGTTTCTGGCTTGCTTTTCCAAGGTGATGATAAGGAAAAAGTGGAACGTACTACAGCTGCTGAATTTAGTCCACTCGGAACTCGGTAATTCCTTCCTGTTCTGTTTGAGAAGGAATTTCGCCGGTGCCCTTGGCTATTTTGCAGGTGACAGTATTCCACCAACGATTTTCATGAGGCTTATTCAACGGAGCTCAGTCTCAATCTACATCCCTGGACGATATTTGAAGAAGTACGAGTGGTTTCCAATTTTTTTTTACAGAAGCGCAGCCATCGCTGGCCATAGATATACATATGTAAATCTCGATCGTTCCGGTTACGTAGACGCGATTGTCATGGGAACGAGGATTCCGAACTTTCGGCACTCGATAAGTATCAGTTTCTGGCCGAAATTTAATGAATTGTAACTTTTTTGGTTAAAAACAGATCAATCACTTCGAGTCCTTTTGAGTTTGTAGATTTGTTATCTACTTTCTGCAGGACAGCATACAGTTCCATTAAGGGTTAGAATCGCGGTAACTAGAAATTATAACGATTTTTGGTAATAAAATTTGCCGATTACAAAGTTTTCGGTATCGGACACAATAGACCAGTAAAGGTTATATTTTCTTGCAGTGCTCTTCTGATAGAACAGAACCAACTACTAGTTACTTAGTTACTGACCTTCTAAGGTTGACCACAGTGTGTTTGCTAAAAGCGATACTATGATATAAAATATATGCGTAGCAATAAAAAAAAATTTGAATATTTGTTGTTTCGCAAGTATTTTGTAGCATAGCATCGCTTCTACATAGCAAACACTCCGTCGTTAACGTAAATCAAATTGGAAAAAAGTGCTTAATCTTTGTTTTATATGTGCATTTTTTATACCAAGTCAGCATTAGGCGTCTTGAACTAATTTCGCTACTTTCATCATAAGTAAAAATATTCTACATACATATGTACATATTTAAAATAATTTCAATGGCACACCATGATATTCCCACCCTATCTACTTAAGACAGTGAAAAATTCTTAAGCACACTGTAACAGGTTTTACTGCGACTAGCGAAGGCGGAAACAAAGCAACGTGCAACATTGAATACAGTGCAGCGACCTGTTTAACTCGAAATTTACCTACCTGATGGCTTAGAAAATTACCTTCACTTTTCTCCCATTTAAATGTCTTTCCCGGTCACTGCTCATTTCGACTTCTGCGGCCTACTACACACACATACATACAGTGGTGGCCACATAATTAGGGAGACTACTTTTTTTTTATAAGTTTTAACCATTTATTGTTTCTTTATTTATATTTTTAATAAATTTTTTCTATACTTTGTACTACAACGAAAACGATGTAGCTCCAAGCTTTAAACCTTTTAATTCGAATTTCTATAAAAAAAAAATCGGGCATGCAGTTTAATATCCCATTTAATTTTAGTATAATTTTCTAAAGTTTCAAGCGGCAAAGAAAGGCGGTACCTCAAGGTGCTCCCATACTAATTTGTTTTAGTTCCGATCATGAAGAAAGTAATACCATTCCTTTTTTTAATTAAAAAAGAAACATAAGTAGCAAACAATAGCACTTTGAAAGCGGGGTGCTATTGATATGACCGATACTGTACATTCATATATGTATAAATAAATAGATGCCTATTTAGAGATCCTTATCGCTGCATGCCACCACATTCGTTTATTTGAGGTTCGTGCATTGTTGCGTTGAGGCCTCTGGAACATTTTCCTTTTGGACTTCATCTATCAGCCTTGTCTTTCACAAAACTTCGAAGATACATACGTACATATGTAAATATTTGTTTTGCGTTTTGCTTGTCCGCTTCATTGGCCTTACCGGTCAAATGATTTGTTCGTTTGTCGATTTGCGTTTGTTGTTGCGAAGGTTATTTATATTTTTAGTCACGTCTTTTATTACATACACAAATACTTATGTATGTATGTATCTTTGTGCAACCCTTCAAATTTGTTTTACTTTTAAGGCTACAAAGTGCGTATGGCTTTTCCCAACTCTCAGCTAAATATTTTCATGGAAAATCGCTTGAATTTTTTTTCCTTTTGGGTTTTTCCTTATTTGCATTCATGATAGCGCGCTGAGTGGTAGCGGTTAGTGCGCTTTAGAAACTATTGAATTCATTGTTTAATATATATATATAAATTTTTTTTGGGTTAGTTAGTTAGTATTTCTTATAACAAAGTGAGTTTCGAGTGATTTCAAATATGCATCTAGCTTCGATTTTAATTCATACCTAAAAAAAGTTGATATACAGTGTAAGAGTGGCTTTACATGTGAAAGTGTGTGTTTTTTTCATTTCAAATTTGCTGTGGTCTCCACTGGAAATGTACACCAAAAGCCTTTGCCGCGGGGAGTGTTAGCTAATACGAGTACTCGTTCCAGAAATTCATACACGCGTATCTTTATCGATAGCAAAATATACATTATAAATTACTCATTAGGTGGTTATTTAAAATCCTTTTTAAATTTCTCCGTAATTAAAGCGATGATAAAGCTTATTCAATTTCATACGCTTTTGTTTTTGCCGTGGGTTAAATAATATGTAAAAAAAAATCGTACCATTAGGAACTTCGCAGACTAGAAATTTCACAAAATAAAGAAAAAGAATAGAAACAAATTTTTATAAATCGTGTCAGCTGATCCGTTCTCCGTTTTTCCGTGCGTGGTTAACTGCGCTTTAAACCTTATGCAGGGCCAGTCTATCAGTCACTGTCGTCCAGCTCAACTAACCAACTTCAAAAAAAAAGGAGGAGGCTACCAATTCGTTGGACCACGTTTAACGATATAATTTTTTTTTAACGAAAGGTGGTCGCATGCTAATTTTATTTTAGATCCGATCATTGGATCATAAGGAAATTAACTGTAATATTAAATTTGTATACGAGAATTGAGGTCAGTTTAGTTTTTTGCTCAAAAATTAATTGTTTAATTCACAAAAGCGGAAATTAGCATTGATTGATCTTGAATAAGGTTGTTGGGAAGAGGATGAAGAAAATTGTATTCCTCAGTGAGAGATTTTTGCGAAGTCTTGTTGAAGGCTGCAAGTAAAGGGGTGGTCGGTGCCATGTGAGTTGCCTTTACGGGCCTGATATAGATGAGAAATGTCGGGTAGGAATTTAACCTGTCACAGTATCCAGACCGTAATGTTGCCAGAGTTACGTTGGTTTCTCAAGGCAGTTGAAGTTCTTCGTCTGCGATGACAGGTGTTCAATGGTCCGATGACTGCATTCACGGTGCAAGAGTTGGTAAAGCTGGTAATTAAGGTCGTTAGATGGCGTTATTTCCGGTCTGTACAACGTTCATTCCAGTGGTTGTGCATTGTAAATACATACATACAGTTTGTAGATAGTGTTCAGCGGCAACCAAATTGAATTTAGAATCACAGGTCAATTGTGTGAGATTCCTTGAGAGATTCCTTGAGATTCCTTTGCGGTTCTGTACTTTACCTTGAACGGGGTAAGGCTCCGTGCAGTGAAGAAGTGAGAATAATTGAAATATAGCCGTTTCAAGCTATTATATTAATGAATATTCATACCAACAAATAAAGCTACCGGGACACAACGGAACTACATACATATCGATCCCTTTGATCAATATTAAAGTTTAAACTTGCTGAGATAATTTAGAAATATAATCAAACGCAAAAATTGTTTCGTAGAAGGGTCTTCACATTCTAATTTCTTAGCACAAAAGAAAACTTTGCCCACAAGGGAATATTCATTGTCACATACGATAAAATTTGCAGTAAATTTTTGGGGTAGCTATTGGGATTTAAGCCATGATATTTCAACAGGTGATGCGTTATGGGGTGTAGAACAAAAATACATCAAAAAGTGATTTTCGTAAGAAAATTTAACATACGATACTTTTGTGCAAAGGGGTCGATATGTATGTAAATAAAAATGTTCAACTATGAAAATACCGCAGAAATAATTAAAAGCGCTGTTTGACACACGTACAGTGTCGGACAAATTAATATGGTCGCGACATTCCAACAAGTTTTGGATTTTTTTTTTAACTTTTATTATTTTTTTATAAAAGTAAAGCCCACTATCTAACAAAAATCATGTAAGTCCAAATTTTAAACTTTGTACAAAAATTCGGAAAATTCCAGATAATTTCATCAAAATTTCAATCTTTTAATCAGAAAAAATTTTTGTAGGCAATTTAATAGTTCATTAAACTTTACAATAAAGTGCAAGTGTGAAGATGCACTGTCACTATCAGAAGAGAACTCAAATGCCTGAGTGTATCTTAACCCAAAATACCAGGCGGGACATATTTAAGCCAATTCCAATACGCAACTTCTATTGTGGTTATGAGAAAACTTCTGTCAGTACGTAAGTGTCCCAACAGGTGCAAAATGGTTAAATCGTGACAAGCGCGAAAGGGTTAAAACTCACCGGAAAATAAACTATTGGCGAAGGTACAAAATAGTGGTTATCCTTACGATTGTATGTGATTAACAAACCTAGCATTTATTCCGTGAATTGGCTTTGAAAACTCTAGTATTATTTATCTACATACAAACATACATATGCACATATGTATTTGTTTTAGGTTAAGTCTCATGCACACTTACATATAATACTTATTTTATTTACTTATTATTGTCCTAGACCAAAATCTAATTGAAATATGTAATGTATACGCTTTTCTAATGTGACATCTTTCGCTTTTTTCCACACTCATTTTTTTAGTTTTCCATTATAAAAAAAATTTTATAAATTTCGCATGCTTCAACGATAATTGGCAAGTAAAAAAAAAAAAAATACAAAAATCAAAAGAATACATATGGTCACCTCACCCACTCATCAACACATTCGGGCGCGCGACACTCAAATCTCTAAACATTTTCGTTTGTGAAGTGCCTTCATTGGAGTTGTCATAGACTGTCGTGCAGGGGCATCACCACCAACTCCACCATCACCACTACCAATACCAACACCACCACCACTACTATCACTACAGCCACAGCTACAACCACTAATGCGCTTACAATCACTTATTATACATAGGTTGCAGGACATCCTCATCGACGTAATTGTAACACATGTGTGGCAACGCATATTCTAAATTGATCGAATTAAATAATAATAAGCAAATTGAAAGTCTTATGCGGTTTTGGCATCATCGATTTGCCACATACATAGTTTGTTTGTGCATAAAGTCCACAAGTTAATTTTGAAGGCAGGATTTGACAAGGGTATAAATCATAAATTCACAAGTTGCTCATTGCACTCAGCGCCCACCACAATGAGTTTGTGGAAGCGTATCGCATGCTTTCCAGAGCTCGAAAAACGCATGACTCAGTACTATGATGGGAAGGGCCTCGCCGAGATACGCGTGCAATTCGCAGCATGGATTGAAGATACTTTAATGTAAGTAAAGTTGGTGAAACGTCCTGTAAATGGAGAAAGAAATATACATACATAAATATTTGTGTAAAGTGTGCAAGATTAAGCTGTGTGAGTAGTAAAATTAAAGAAATGTCGGGTTTTGTTTTTCTTATCGCAATTTCTTGCGGTTCAATAAAGAGATGTCTACTTTCACATAAACGTGAATGTGTATATATGTGTGTGTTCGTTTGTGTATGTGTTATTTAGTTTCTTTGTGAGATTAATGTAAGGGCTTTTAATTGTTTGGAACTTATCAACGTATAAATACATACGTATATATTCGCACTATGAATCGTTAAGCTTGTTCCATTGCTTCGAGCTCATCAAATGGTTTGGAAAATGATTATACATATACATATATGTTGCATGTACATATGTATCTCACGTTTAATAATACTATTGCGAATATGTTCAAAATTTATGTTTTTGGATATTCAATCATACAATTAATAAGCTTGATAAGGAGATTATGTTCAGTCAGCAGATAATTAAACTCCACAAAAATTGCGAAGATATCGGCGACATTTTGTTCCAAAATTTGTTTTTGATGCTCTAGGAGCATTTCTGCAAAAAAAAAAAATTAAATTTTGGGAAAAAGGTCGCTTACGTTGTTTTCGAGATTAGGGCTTGGTATGCGTCTTTCTTTCTAACTATTGGTTTTTTTTTTCTTTTTTTATACCAACTATAAAAGCATACAAAAAATGTTGCCTTTTCATTGCCCTATCCTTAGTATTTGCGCGTAGAGGGCACTTAGATGGCAACATTTTTTGTGTAGAAAAGAAAACGTCATAAACCTGCTATATGTTATTTTGCGTTGTTGAATGTACAATATCCTTGCAGTGAAAAGCCAAGCCTGTCAGTAAACATTCAAAAAGATCAACTGGTAGAAACCGACTAGTTAATTAACTGGTACTAGCCGATGCGGTGGCCTACCTGTTCGGTAATTTCGAAAAACTTTCTGTTATGTGATAACTCTTTTTGAATTTCCGAGGCTCAAACGAAAACGCACCACCTACTTGGTGTTCTCGCGATTTTCTACCATGGCGTCGCTTGACTCTTACCTGCGAGACATTTCTTCGGGTTTGCACACGAGAAAAAGTTGGTGGCACCTAAATCGGGAGCATATGCTGCATGAGATAACACTTCGTGGCCCTAGGCATGGATGTATTCGCATGAAATTCAACGTTTTTCTATTTTCGCCGAAATTCACAAGGTTGCCCGCTTTCAATGGCTGTCAAACACAAATTAATGAAGAAGCAGCTTGCTTAAAATTTCACAGCAGTTTTTTATTAACATATAATAGTTGTTATGATCAGTGCTGCATTAAAGAGTCAAAAAATAAAAACAATTATGCCCGTAGCGTTGTAGTTCGCAACAAGTAGCTTTCCCTGCAGGGATACTATTTTCAAATATGTTTGTTGTTTAAATTGTGGAATCGCGTATTATATAAACTAAAATGTTTTGTCTTACAGGAGCCAACAACAACCGCCGGCTAGCGATAAAATTTTCGAACAATTAGTTAACTCATTCTACGAGGGCCTCAAGCAGAAGCTCATTACTTTAGATGGTGATAATTTGTTTAAATTTAAGATACGGGAAATTTGCACACATCTTGGACAAACAACACCCATTGAGCTCTATACGTACGTTCGTAACGGTCTGCTCCGTGAAATTCAGGCATTGAAGGAAATGCCACAAAATCCCTACATGTATAATCCGGCAGTTGTAGGTTGTAATGGGATGGGTATGAATACGGGTAATCCCTATATGGGTAGCGTCGGCGCTCACCTTGCTGATGTACGTATGACCGAGGATACTTATGCTTTGCCGGCGCGCATACAAAAATTGGCAGTCGATGTTGACAATATGCGTTTGGCCATACAAGGTTTGCAAGGCGAACAAGAAGCTGTGGTAAAATATTTCAATCAAACGCGTGCAATGGTGACGCCACAAGAGTTGGAGGAGCTGGATAATCAGTATAAGCAACAATATCTGATTTTGTGCAATCGCAAGAATGGTGTAGTTGATGATTTACGACGCGTAATCAGCGAATATGACACCATACAAGATCAAGTGATAATGGCACTGAAAATGTGGCAACGAAATCAGGCGCTCGCTGGAAATGGTGCGCCATTCCATGATAATTTGGATGATATACAACGCTGCGTAGAGATGTTGGTCGATATGGTCTCCAAAATTCACGCTTTTGTCAACAATCTGATCTTGATGAGCATGGGTGAGACTGAGGACCCGATACTGGCTGAGATGCTCAACCACGTACGTTCTGTACAAAGGTTACTGGTCTTGTCGGCGTTTATTGTAGAGCGGCAGCCACCTCAAGTAATGAAAACACAAACGAGGTTAGTTCTCGGAAACCAAATGCATACTTGTGTAACTATAAAAGAAAACGGTTAATGAAAATGAAATTTATAGATTCGCTGCAGCTGTACGATGGTTAATTGGCCCACAACTTGGCGTATATACGAACACTCCAGTTATTGAATGCGTTATACTTTCAGGTAAGATATTGGCTATCATAATCAAGTTTTAGTATTTGAAAAGGGCTATCTGTAAAGGCAAAAACAAGTTTGTCGATTTAATTTACAATTTATTTCACAAATTGCGTTTTTTCAGAGGCCCAAGCACAACGCCATGCAGCAAATAACAGTAATTCTGATATGCAACCTGGTTCTCCACCCCAATCGTCCGGCGAAATCATAAATAACATAAGCACAATGGAATATCAGCAAGCCACACGCGTATTTTCAGCAAGTTTTAGGTATAACTATTTGCATTTATTCATAAACTTCAAAAGGTAGTAGTAGCTAATGTCTTCTTTATAATTCTAAATCTCTTTGCAGAAATATGCAATTAAAGAAAATTAAGCGCGCCGAAAAGAAAGGAACAGAAAGCGTAATGGATGAAAAATTCTCCCTACTCTTCTACACAACAGTGGTTTTCAATGAATTCAAAATAAGTGTAATTATTTACTTGAATCTATAGCGAAATTCGTACAATATTAAATCGTTTTTATGTAATTTTCATTTTGTTTTCAGTGCTGGACACTTTCCTTGCCCGTTGTTGTGATTGTGCATGGCAATCAAGAGCCCCAGTCCTGGGCCACTATCACTTGGGACAATGCATTTTCAGATATAACACGCGAACCTTTCCAAGTTCCAGAGAAAGTACGCTGGGCGCAGTTATCAGCAGCGCTGAATACCAAATTTGGCTCGGCTACTGGAAGAAATTTAACTGAAGACAATTTAAATTTCCTTTGTGAGTTTGATTTTTCTGTACTTGTTGAACCTTTTAAATAATTAACTGCATTTTCACATTAGACGAGAAACTTTTCCGCAACGAAGCCGGCGAGCATACTGAATTCATTACATGGGCGCAATTTTGTAAAGAGCCATTGCCAGACCGATCTTTTACATTCTGGGATTGGTTTTTTGCAATAATGAAATTGACAAAGGATCATTTATTAAATCTTTGGAAAGAGGGTTTAATTGTTGGTTTCATAAATAAACGCAAGACGTTGGAGGAAATCCTGCCGATGCAACAGTATGGCACATTTTTATTGCGCTTTTCAGATAGCGAACTAGGTAATACGCTGACTGATATAATGATTTCGCAAAATATAAACTGTCAACATATTTCACTTACAGGTGGTATAACTGTGGCTTTTGTCGACGATCAGGGCAACAAGCTGATGCTGGCGCCGTGGACCTCAAGAGACTTGAATATACGCTGTTTGGCGGATCGCATACACGACTTGAACGTGCTGCGTATTGTTTATCCGAAGAATTTGCCACGCGATGAGGCATTCGGCAGCTTTTACTCACATCATGTTGGTAAATATCAAATTTTATTTGTAAAACATTTAAAGCGTTAATTTATCGTTATGCATATACCGAATGAACTATAATAATACTAACATTGTTTCTAGATGAACAAAAAACAACGCGAGATGGATATGTAGCAAGTGATATAAGGGTTAATGTACCGGCCATAGAGGGTGGCTCTGTAGTGGGTACGCCACAGCATCAGCCGCAAGATATACCTATGCCAAAGTGAGTTTTTGTTGCTATTTTAATACCACGAATTCTTTACTTTGTTTTAAATAAAATGTTTGGTTTTATGGTTTTTGTTCTTTGCTAAATTTTATACTCACCATTTTGTTGTAGTAGTTAAAATAGAGTATGGAGTATACACAAAATTGGCTGCTTTATCTAAATTTTTAATTTTACAATAGATTTCAGTTAAACTACATTTCAGTTACATAAATGCTGCAATTTTTTGTTTAATTACTTAAGGATCATTATAGTGTGCGAACGTTATTGTCAATTCATATGTGCTTACATTTTTTGTGTAGCAACTAAAGATGTAATTAAACATTAGAATGTTGTCGATCTTTACCTTTTCCAAATTTTATGACTACAATGTCTGCTGAATTAAAAAATTATTCACAAAAAATAAGACCGTCCCTCACAGCAATAATATTTTAAATTTGCTTTGCATTTCAAATATTATGCTGACTACAGACGATGCAACAGTTTAACCAACCTATTCATATTGCTTCGTAAGTAGCCTAGCTGCTCATAGAAATTGCTGGCGCAACCGTTACCTCAATATCAAAAGAATTTTTTGTTGTTGTTGTAACAGCATACAGATTCACCAAAAAGTCTTTGGTGGAGTGTTGCTGTAGTGACAGACCTTGGCCATATTTAAATCTGGGTCGTTCCGGTTACGTAGACCCGACTGTAGTGGGAACGCAAAGAAAAACTGTATATTGTATTGCATGTCGCAACGGTTTGCCTCAATTTATAAAGAGTTTTCAGTTGTTGAAAATGCCAATATTTTTCACAGAATAAATTTTATTTAATGGAATTAACAACAACGAAAAACGTTGCCTGAATCATTGCAATGTCTCCTTAATCAATTTGACGAAGCGATTTCGGCTTTGTTTTGAGATAATCAGCGTTATCTGCAAACCAAATAGTCGCGTTCTGGCTGTATAATTTAAATTTGTTGTATTGCAATAATGCAAATAATGCGCCAAGTGTCATTAATACGATTAAATTTTCAAATAAATATGGAAAATCCAAATATTTATCCTTTTTCACACCCGGATAAACTTATTTTGAAAATGGTGTGAAAAGTGATATCTATGTCGCTATCATAAAAATACTTACCTGTGCTTGACTGCGTCTGAATGGGAAGAAACTTTACCTACATTTACCTTCCACTTTCTACTTTTTCAAAGTGTGGCTTGGATCATTGGAATTATAAGTTATGTAATAAGTAATTTTTAAGTAAAAATACAACCGACTTCAATGCTCACCGTAATTTCTTCATGATCCAATATTCGAAACAATCAAATTACTATCCGACCACTTTTGAGGTACTACCACCTTTCCGATAATAATGAATTGCCGATTCACGTTGTCTAAACTTATCCGGTCACACATAAAAAAAATATATTCCAATGAATTGATAACCTGCTTCTTTTCCGAAGTCGGTTAAAAATAAACTGTAATGTGTGCAATATTATTAGAAAATATTTTTGACCAACTAATAACTGAGCTTCGAATTCAATTTGACTCATTTGACAACAGATGACATTTCTTAATGCTTGAAAAATGACAACATGCAGAATAAAGATTGAAAAGTTAGTTTCTAAGTTTACCCACATATGAATTGAACAATAGCTTTGCCTCTAAATGATTTCATTGCTTTTGGGTTTTATAAAACTTTTTGTTTCGCAGCAACTGCTTATTTATTAATATACTATGTATAGATTTGTATTTTGCTTAAACCTTTTAACATTATCTTTATAATCGAACCTTGCTTTGCTCTATTTGAGAACTAGATCGCAATACTTTGGAAATGAACCTGTTCATAATATTTTTTTTTTTTAATTATTGATGGTGTTGCAGCTTTTAGCATAAATCACTAATGGTGCCTTTGCATTGGGTTGCTTGTCTTAATCAAAAGCTAAATGAGGTCAGTCAGCGCAGTTTTGTGACTGTGCCGATTTGGAAATTGTTGATATGTTTAACAGAATTAACAAAAAAGATTATTTGTGTATAAGTATATGATTTATTTCAATATAACTGAACACAATTTTGTCTATTTTATTTTTCTTCCGATTCTTCTGGCTGTCCGACAACTTTACTTTCGTCTACAATTCTCGTCAACTGTGCATCCACTACCTTTTATCACTACACACAACTACTCTCACATCCCCTGTACGAAAAATAACTATCCTTTGTTCCATATATCGATAGTTATAGTCTTGACGACATCGATTGGAGTAACGTTATGGTCTGAAATGGGTGGGCTGCATAAAGGCAATGTATAAGTGATTGGTGTAATGGTCAATTGCTTAGTGTGGAGTGCAACATATCATATGTGCTCAATACTGTTAAGCAGGTATTTTTTCGTTACACAGATTTCGTTTTCATTGTTTTCGAATATATTTTGGGTTTTTTTTTATTTGAAGCGTTGCACTACAATTTTCAAACGTGCTATACTGTTGCTGTTTTGTTATAGTTTTTATGTTTTTTTTTGTACAATTACTTTTTCACTTTAATCCCAGCGAATTATGGCTAGTCAAATCACAGCCATTCGACTGATTAATACAAATCACCATTCAAACATTCATCTGCTGCATTTATTATCCACTAACTAATTTTTACACGATTTGGCATATAATTGGTTGCTTTAAATGCTATTACGGAAAATTGCTGAATAAAGGCAAATATATATATATGTATGTACACAGCAGCAACGAATGCAATGCAATGAATTCAATACATATACTACATTGTAGTCACCGCTGTTGTCAACACTAATTCACGTTTCCTAAATTTGCTTAAGAATCCATTACAAACAATTTTCGAATACTACAGGCCAGCAGAAAACTTGTGCTCACTTTCTTCACATTTTTCACTTATGGCAATTTATGATGCCATAATTTTTAACAATAATTTAAAAAATCACTAACTCATGAATATTGTATGACTTACTTACGTACATACAGCCTTATTGTCGCTATTTTTGCACATTGTCGTAAATATTACATATACATACACATACTACATACTAGGTGTTGCGTAGGCTAATATCATGCTTCACTCATTTTCTTTGGGCTTGTATCTTACATTTTCATAATCCATATCAAATTCAAAGTTGTTGTTTTTATGCAAAAACGTCGTTGCCGTTTCAAAAGATTCACTCATTTTCATAAAAAAAAACTTCCTATTCGACATCCATTAGTGCCACAATGATGAAACTAAAAAAGAAATAATAATTAATAAAAAAAAGTATTGCCATCTATATCAACTTTTTTTTTTATTCATAAAAGCTGCCTAGCTGTTTCGCTATGGGAGTGAATACTGACTGCAGTGCTTACATATGTACATATATACTCTTTAATACATCTCTTATCACTGGCACAATAGACCTGCCGGTCACAGTGCTATAACCAACTATCTATCTAACTCTTACCACATATTATAGCCTTTTCCCTGTGCTGATTTATATACAAAATTAATTATAAGAATAACGAATAACGCATTGATTACACAATATTTTGCTTGCATTTATCTAGATCGCAGAGCAACAACTTAACGCATCTATGAGTACGCACACACATTCATACTATCTGCTTGTCAGAACGAAACTAATTGAACCAAACCGAAATGAATCGATTCGAACACCTAATTTGGCAAATAGCTCACAGATATTTCAATGTTTACAAACAACTAATTACTATAAAATGGAATCAATGGATTCGTCAAGTAATTAAAGCAAGCTATTAAAGCAAGAAGAAAGATTGCTGCATGCAAAAAATGATTTTGAAATACATAATGGGAAAAAATTTAGAAGTGAGAGAGGCAGATACGCGTTATCCACATACATTTCCGAGTATTGTTAGGAAAGATAAAAAGTGAAAGAAAACAGAACATTAAAAAAGAAATGTAATTTGTCATTTAAACAACGAAGCACTTAAAAATATATAAATAAAATCCAAAAAATACTATTTGGTTGAAGCACCCCGTAATGTGTGTATTTGTGTGAACACTAAAACCTTCAAACATTTTACAATAAGAGTACTACTATGTACATTCATACTTAATTCTGTGTAATATACATATAATCCTGTGTATGCTCGTACAAACATATATGTATGTATGTATGCCACTGCTCATTGACAGCTTAAATGCGTCAAAATAATTGCTTATCGACAATGTAATATGTAATGCATGCCAACAGTATTGTTATAAGAACATACACAAACCACAAACATATTTACATGAATATGCATGTGCTGTGCATTTAATCACGTCACTGTGCCGGTTATTGTTGCATGCAGATGCCTGCCAAATTAGAGATTCACTTCGTATAGATAGATATGATATTGACATGTATGTATGTATGTATGTGCAGTAAAAAAGTAAGAGACGGAGAAATTCTTAAGTGTTTTATACTCGGAATTTATAATTCTCTTTATCTACACTTTTACTTCCCAACTGCATGTTGAGCTATACTCATACATATTTGAATGCTTGCAACGTTAACATTTCTTTATTTAACATCAACTATCAAAATTCTATGTAGTAAATTCGATTTCATGTCCTATGCACCAACATTTGTACATACATAATATATGTGGTATATTGTGTGTTTCATATATGTATGTATTCATATTTAAATTTTTCTTTTTTTCTCAATTTTAGTGACAATTTTATTTCTGAATTTGATTCAATTTTATATTGATGGATGCGGATAGACACACACGCGCGCATGAAAATATACACTTATATACACCATAAGAAACTGAGCCAGAAAAAGTACGCATGGGAAATAAATTATACTAAAATATGAACACACATTTGATTTTTATGCCATCAAAGAGCTATGAAAATTATAATTGGTTGGAAAATGCATTACTTCGTTTCATAGTCATGAGTTCACTAGCAGCAAGCAAGTAATTACATATGTATACATAAGTATAGTCAAATAGCTATTAGTAATAACCCGCGCACACCACGCCCATCACCACAATCCAACCACACCAAATAAGTGAGATATGCGCATTAACAATATCCTTCGACGTCCATTACTAGCCAATACGGCCAAGCGACCATTTCAATCACCGACGATGCTGAGCATTTTCAGATATTGCTGAATTTCTGGTTTTGCATATACGTAGTACGTGCATGCTGGAATTTAAGCGGAATAATGGATTAAAAACCACAAATCCTTCTGGGGACGTAAGGATATCCAATTATCATTTCTTGTTACTACATTATGGTATGTATTTGTTTTGGAATTAAAGTAACTTTAAGTTTATATGCAATAAATACACTAACAGCCAGTTTCACCAAACTATTTAAGTGCAAATTAACTTTAATTTAATTTTGTATTTAATTCTCATTTAAATAATTTTCAGTTTCAATAAACTATTTATTTAAGTGAGTAAAAAGTGGTTGTAAAACAGACTAGGACTAGCTTTCGCTTTCATTTGTACTGAGAGCTTTTGAAAGCTTTGGCACGCTGTGTTGTAAAAGCAGGGCTGGTATACAAGTAAGCAGCAGATACACAATGTGTAACACCTCTGAGTGTGGTTGTTCTGATTTAACTTTTATTTAAGTGCAGTGCATAGGTCACTTAAATCAAAATTAAAATTGATTGGTGAAACCGAAAATTCGAAAATTTTCACTTAAATAATTTGGTGAAACTGGCTGTAAGAGGAAATTCTCATACATATGTAGTTACTTAAGTCCACGATACATATGTACGTATTGCATTTTATCCGCATCCAAGAATATTGAGAAACAATTTTTGTGATACTCTGCTAATTCGATAAAAAGTTTCAGCGCAGGAATGGCAAAATTTTAACTATAATTCTCAGTTTTAGCTGAGATTGCCATACTGTTCACAATTTGGTCAACTGATATTGTGTACATATGAGCCTCAATTTAGGTGAAATAGAGAAAATTGTGTCCCAGTTTTATGGCTGCGACTCTGAAATTTGCTTTTTATGAAGGACTTTTAAGCAAGAAGATTTCATGACTGACAAAAAAAACAAAACCAAAAAAAAAAACTTAAAAACAAGTAAGTTTTAAGCAAAAACACCCCCGATTTTAATACTCATATAAATATTAGAAGCAGGCCCGTAGCCAGTATTTTTCTGGCAAAATTTTATTTTAGTTTCACTTTTATTTCAACATATTTTGATTAAAAGAAAAATACTGATAAAAATAACATTTTTCATAAAAACAGGGTTGAAATCTTGAAATTCCTGCCCGTAGTTTGTTTGTAAGTCAAATATGAGTGGCATTGTGCTACTATGATAGCACGGCCGAGTAATCATAGCCAACTAATGTACAGTAGACATACAATACATATGTATATCTATCAGTCTTTCTTAGTTTAAAAATTCGCCAATTGTGGCCAAAAAAAAGTATGTGGTAGCTAAATCTAGCCACCAAAGGGCTAAAACGGCAACACTGGCTGTCAGTTTCTGCTGGTCAAAATTTTACTTCCAGGAGAGGCAAAAAAGGAGAGCGTAAGAGCGAGAGAGAGAGCTGCTAGTTTCTGCTTGGTTTTTTGATTAAGAAAGCTTTCCAGCAGAAACTAGTGATAAAGTGTAAAGAAACAAAGCTATAGATATACAGCCATGTTCTGAAATACGTACGATTTGAAATCGATACGATTTCGGAAAGATTTTTATAGTTTAAACGTTACAACAGCAAAAAAAAAAATATACAAAGGTTGGAAAAGTGTATCTGGTGTGTTCTGGCTTCCTGATTACAAGGCTGTCTTCATTTTTCTTGCGTCGGCGAACTGCTTTTTTATCGGGCTTTTGAAATTTCGAGGTTATATGTTATATGTAGGAATACGATTACTGTAATTGTAATCCCGAAAATTTTCAGCATTACGATTACTATAATTTGTAATTATAACATGCTTGATCACTTTAATTTTAATCCTTAAAATTTAACGATTACGACTGCTGTAATCGTAATCGTAGCTTTTATGATTACGATTATAGTAATCCTAATCCTAAAAATTTCAAGATTACAATTACAGTAATGGTAATCATGAAAATTATGATTACGATTACAAAAGAGTGATTTGCTTGTTTTTGGCTCGTAAGTATATGTACACAATTGATGTACGTATGTATAAATAAATAACCATAAATGTTATTATTTGCATAAGTGGATGTGAAAATATCGGCTGTAAACGAATTGTAAATGTAGTACAATTTTTACTATGTAGCTTCAAATGTGATTTTATACAAAAAACTAAATGTAAACAAATTGCAAAAATATTAAATATTCTTAAGCAAACGTTTTAGCTTAGTTATTAAGGAAACTTTGATTGGAGTTATTGGCATAGTGTATGTTGTACTTGGTGTATTTGTACATAGGTAATGGCTTGACTACTATTCGAACGTTTAGTAAATCTTACCGTTTAAAAATTAAAGCTTAAAAAGCTAAACTGCTAAAAATTCGTTATTATAGAAAAGAATTAAGCAAAGTTAAATAATAACCTAAACACACATACCCGACCGACAGTCTGATCTATGCAACTGAGAAGGGTAGTGTTTAAGCTGCCACAATAACACCGATAAACTTATCTTTGCCATGAAATAGATTTTCTCAAATGAAATAATTTCTGATAAGGCAAATTATTACATATCGATGGCTGAGTGGAAGATCGGCCTATCTCGCCAGACGGTTCGAAAACGCCTTATTTCCGAAAATTTGTTTGTCAATAACGCCTTATTACAGAATTTTATTGAAAAAAACCCTATCTCAGAATTTGATTGAAGAAAAACGCCCTATCTCAGCACACATTTTCAATATATTTTCATTTGAGATAGGGCGTTATTCAACCAAATTCTGGGATAGGGCGTTTTCAAACTGGATACCGAGATAGGTCGATCTTCTACTCTGCCATCGATATGTCATTATACACATGCACATAGACATCTTCGCCTTTCTGCGTCAACCACATATATAAATTTTTTTACGAGAGCTAATTACAACACAGTTTAAGCATCATACGATTTTAAAATAAAACAAAAACTTTAAGTGGGTGCTCATTAGGGTTAGCTGAATAAAAATATTAGGTATATAGCTCGTTTATTGTATCCTAGTGGAAGAAAATTAAAATTTTTTTCATACAATCTCTATGTTGAATGACTATTGCATTTACGAAGTTAACGCAGAAATAGGACAATGTGTTAATTAAAATAATATATCAAAAATATAGATGCCAAAATGAGACTGTCCTTATAGTGTGAGCTGCTTATATTGCGTACGAGTCGTTTGGCAAAAAATTTCGTCGGTTAACCATATTTGAAGAATAGATGAAACATCTACATACATACATAGTTATACATAGTATGCATTTTACTGACGTGCTAAATATACAGCATATTTATGTATGTGGGTGATAAAAAATGTCCATCCATGTAAGTCTTAAAATAACCCCTATGCATTTGGAAAGGCTATTAATTCGAAAAAATATCCTGACTAACCAGTGCATAAAAAGTCAAAATGATCACTTTTTCTGCGCGAAAATAAAGTGGGCTTCAAAATCACATTTGAACCAAAAATCTTTAGAATAGTGTAAAGCAGACTAACTTTTTTTGTATAAATATACTAACTTGTTTAACTTAATTTTTGACAGGATGTAAAGAAATATTTTCTGTGAGCCGTTTTATAAGAAGAAACCAATTTGGAACAACTTTCGAGTTGTGACTTTTTTCATTTAAGGTGTATATAAGAACTTACAAGGACTGTCCTAACCTAAATATATTACCTACATACTTTTTCACTTACACTGGTGGCAGAAATAATAGACTCGACTTATTTTGATAAGTTTTGGTTACATTTATTTTGTTTATTTAATGTTTATTTTTATAAAAGTCTAGCTAGTTGTACAACAAACACTATATAAATGCACATTTCAAACTTTGTAGGTACAAAAATTATAAAAATTCAACGCATTTTCAACAAAACTTCAACCTTTTTATTTAAAATTTTGAGAAAACTTAGGGATGCAGTTTCATAGCCAATTCAAGTAGCTACAAAATATCATTGATACGCTGTTTTCCCCATACAAAGTATGTTAAAAAAAAATATTTATATGGAAGAGAATGCCCAACACCGTCAAAAACAATGCCAAAAATCAACGTTATTTTCTATCAGCTTAATTATTTCTATCAACACTAATTGTGAATGGGCGTACACAAAGCTTTTATGTTTTGGTGGTTTTTAGTCCAATATTGAGTGCATAACAAAGAGATTATGTATGTATGAAGAGGAGTAATGTAGCGAATACCGATGCATTTTTGACCTGATGGCAAGTGGTTGTGGTTGTCTTAAGGAAAACCCTAAAGTCTAGTAATCTACGAATTTACAATAAGATAACTTATACTATTTGGGGATTCGCAAGGCGTGTTAAGCGTCGTTAAATCTTAAACTTAACATTTTCTTATGTAAAATAATAAATAATGATTACAATAGTTTTAGATAAAATTAATATATAATTAGAAACCCCCTGAAACCGTTTTAACCGTTATTTTACATAAACAAATGATAAGCTTAAGATTTTACGACGCTTAACACGTCTTCTGAATCCCCTAGATAAGTACATATGTATGCATAGCTACCAAATTAATCAAGTGCTGATCCAATTGAAAATTGATGTCATTGTATACATATTACATACACACGTGTACTCTCTCTCACCTAGCAAAAATATACATATGTAGCTAAAAATAAATGTAATTTAAATTAAATATGTAAATGTTCACGCAACTATTTATGTACTTTTATAAATGTTCGAAACATATTTAAAATATCAAACACAAGCTCTAAATTTTTAGATCGCATGTACTATGTACATAAAGTTTTAACATATTATTTTTTGGTTATTCTTTTATATAAATTCAGTTCTTTCTAAAAAAAAAAAGATGTTCATAAATGTAAAGCAGGAACACACGATTTGTTCATTTGCACAGCTTTGTACATTTTGGCAGGTGCAGAGTGGTGTTGTTCGGAAATGCTTTTATTGGGCTGAACTCAAACTTCTAAACAACACCACTCTGTGACTACCAAAATGTACAAATTTGTACAAATGTACAAATCATGTGATCTTCGCTTAAGTTTCAAACTTTGTGCAATATTAAAAAAAAAAAAAATCAACAAATAACTAAAACTTGCCATTAATTTTTTTGTTGAAGATGTTACGGTTTTCTTGAATATAAAACTAGGCGTTTATTCGTTATATGGAAGCAAATGAGACAAATAAATTCTAAAAAATCAACGGTAATTTTTACACATTTGAAACTTTATACTTTAGTCTTCTAAAATTAAATGGGCTGCAAAGCTGTAAGCTCAAAATCTTTCTAGGAAATCTAATGAAAAAAGCTTGAAATTGCACAAAGTTTGAAACTTGGATGTACACCGGTTTTGTTAAAGAATGAACTATATTTTAATAAAAAGTAACCAAAATTAAATAACAAAAAAATAGGTTAAAACTTACCAAAATGTGCTGCGGCTATAAATTGTTCGAATACTGTATATGTGTGTACAAACATAATTTTTGGAATGTATCATTTGTTATCCTAATTTCGTATTAATCTATTTCAACTTTTATTTAATAGCTTTTTATTTAATTCTATTTTCAGCGTCTACTTTCATGTTGCAAGTCAATGCTGAAAACACATAACCTGCATGCTGTGTCACCTTGAAATTGTAATAAGTTTGTAATCTTAAAAGTGTTTGCCTAGTTTTCTTCTACTACTCTTTCTTACAAACACCCTCGCAAACTTTTATTCATGTTTGTGGTTAATATGCGCATAGTTTAAAAGTAAATGTAATATTTTTACACTCGTCGTTGCCTTATATATTTACACTAAATTTTGTTTGTTTATATATTTTTGAACTGTTTTTAATAGTGAAATGAACTATTCGATGTATTGTACTAGTTTATTAATGATACCTGTTGTGTTGTGGTAAACCAAACAAAACTGAAATATACAAATTTAATTTTTGTTTAATGCATGCGAAAAGGGCTTTATATTACGTAAAAAAATATGTAGACATTACATTTAAATGTTTAAATAAGTGAAGACTAAAATAGGTTTAACGTAAGAGCATATAAAGTGAAATTGTGAAGCAAAGAGATAGAAAATAAATATTAACGGCAAACCAGTCAACGATAAATGTTGAATGTTTCATGATAATTGTGAATACGTAATTTAAGTGTAATTAATTTAAGCAATGAAAGTATGAGTATACTCACTTAAACGAAATTTACTAGAGGGCGAAATATTCAAGTATGGTTATACAAACTTATTTGAAATTTATTTAAAGTGTTTTTTGTTCTTACAAAATTCTGCGTGGTTGTGCAAATAATATGTGGTCAAATAAATAGAGCCAAGATAAGAATAAATTGTGTGGTTCTTTTGAAATTGAATAATCTTTTTTCAATGCAGCTAAACTTAAACAATTTTTTTTTAGTTTTTCGCATAACAGAAAGTATCACCTGGAACTGGGAGGTCGCCGCTCTAACACATACCATACCAGTTGATGTACTAGCAGGTTTGCTAGAATGTTTGGCTTTTCACTGCAGCCCAATTACTGGAAATTTATAACAGCAAGGAATCAATATCGACGTCATATACTCAACCCCCTCTAAAAATGTACAAATTTTACAAAAACTAGTTCCTGACATAAGCATCTATTTTAGGCCTATCCTTATGGTTTAAAATAATACCAAAGTTGAAGTCGCAGATGTATTCAAATATCAGAAACAATTTTTTGTGAGAACTGCAGATTGAGGGTATTGATTATAAGCCCTCTCTTGGCAAGAGAAACACATGAGAAAATCAAAAAATTTAGGCTCTATTGATTGTCCACATGTGTATATGTACTATACGTACATATACATACTATTATTTTCCTTTTACATTGGATTTTTTTTCTAGTATTATTTACCGGGCAAGTTCGCTATATGGTTTTGAGTTTCTGTAGCTAAAATTTGAAAAAGGTAATTCACATTTTTTAAGTGCAGTATTTTATTTTTTCAAAATCTATTTTTTTTTTTATGAAATTCGTATATGCCTTTGATTCGCTTCAAGCTATATTATACTTAAATTTTTGTGGCATTCTTCGTGCATCTCCTTCCCTTTTCATCAAATACAATACTTACTTACATATATTATAAGCAAACAAATTTGACATACTTTTCTTATGGTATGTAAGTCTTCGGGGTTTTAATATGAATTCTTATACATACATTAAAAAAAGTGCATCAAACTTAATTTAAATAAGTATTTAATAATATAAATAAAATTTTGATTATCAATTTCTTTCAAAGAGCAGGCGGTGTATATTTAACAAATGTATAACTATATGTAATTTGGAAAACGTTTATTGAAGTTGACCGCTCGAACGTAACATTGATTTGTGATTTTTCTTACAAAATTTTTAGTAATTGGCTTCCACTTTCGTTTTTCTATAATAGTTATTTAGTAATAATTAAAATAAATGCATATTAAGTTTGTAAAAAGGAATTAAGAAATTGCAGTTTGTTGTTGGTTTGGCTTGTGTTGTAAAGATAAATAGTTTGTAAGAAGGGAAATTAAATACATTAAATGTATTAAAACTCATCCGAATTCACGATTCACATATGTATGTGTGTATGTATGCATATGGATGTCAAGTCAAAAGGTATATTTTTAGTGTTAGAAAATAGTTGAAAAATGATATACATGCATAAGTAAATGTACGTTTAATTTTACAATAAGCAGCATTAATATTCGCTTATCTTTAAATATGCGGTTATTTTCTTAATTTCTAATCAAAGTTTGTAAACAATTTTTTGGACCGAGGGTAGTAGTTACTTGCATAGGGTGCTATATTTCTTAAACAAAAAAAAAACTTGTAAAAACTTACTAAAATAAGGGTAATCACAATATTGTGCGAAAGGCCTGGCATGCACATATTTCGGTGCGTTTGTAAAATTTATCTGCAAAGCAATATACATTTTCATTCTTGTGAATGTGCATGAAATGAGATTGTGATTACCCGCAATACGTACATATTTCACAGGGTTAGACCAAATAATCACTCGCAATTTTTCGCAGCACCGCTACAACGCAATTCTATTTCTTTTGTATTTAGGATGCGAATATTATTGATGCTAATTGTATGCATACTGAGAGTATGCACTACTCTTCAATTGAAAAATCGCGCATAGAAATTTAAATTTACAAATTAAATTTTACCATACACACTATGTATATTATATTCTACATACATATGCATATATATAATAATAAAGCAAAAATAAATATATAAATGAAATTTATATGGAGCATGTTAAAATTGAAAACTTATTTAATTACACTCAAATTAAAGTCTAGTTTTTAAGCCCACATAAAATGTTTACTTGTATGATGTTTATGTGTTTATAATATGTCTGCTATAAACTGAATGTTCACATGTCAGCCATATTTACAACCTACTTTGTATACCTACATACATATGTATACACAACTCTGAAGAACTACATAAACTTTTTACTAAAAAAAGCATAGTTTAAATTGCGACGCACTGGATTTGAAGGAGTCTGATGTTACGACAGCGAAGAGTTCAAAACGTAATACTACCAGCAGCCTCTTGAACCTAATTCGTATAAACTAAAAAATCGTTGACTGTTCAGCGTAAGCAATAAATTTTACACACACACACACACACTTACAAAATGTACTCGATAGTACTCGATCTTTTTTAACAGAATTTCTATATTTCTATGCAAAATACCCAATATGGATGTATTTTTTTAATCGGATTTTATTAGCCACAAACATACATACATATGTATATGCATGTACTATTCTCTTTAATGTACTCGAGCCTTTAACGATGCATTCACAATGCACATACATCAACGTTAAATGTTAATGATAATGAAATTAAAATAAAAAGTACATCGAAGTAAATTATACTACAATTTATGGAATAATGATGAAGAAAACATCATTGCACAATTGCACACATGTAGCATCCTTTTGGTGGCGAATTAAATGTATGTTATGTATTGCAAATTTATTTACAGCAACACTGAAAATAATAAATGAGTAAATAAAGCAAATTTGTGAAACTTACGTTTTCAAGTGATTTATTGTCGAATTGATCAACACCATCTATACTTATGTCATTGTTAGTAAACGGAAATTGGGCCCGATTCGTGGCTTGCGATATCGAACGTAACTCGATTCGAAATTTTATTTTGAGATTTAAATTTTATTGTGGAGAAAACGGCTGCCACTTTGTTTCATTCGATACGAAACGAGAAATTATTCGGTCACGAATACCGCGATTCGGATCCTAGTCAGCATCGGAATCGTGATGTTGTAGAACTTTTATTCACCTTATATGGGTTTCCAGAACAGCGATATTGAATTAAAGCCGCCTTTATTATTATTGGTCCACCCTTAAAAACCCATTCCAACTTTAAGCTATTTATAAAGCTAAGAAGCACTTTGGAGGCTGTCATCTTCCACATTCGGAATGCAGACGATATTCGTTCACCAAATATCCACCAAAGCCTAAGAGCCGAATTCAAAGATAACCACTGACAAAGGTTTAACTATCAATTTTCATATCGACCGCTGAGTGGAAGATGGACCTATCTCGGAAGCCAGTTCGAAAACGCCCTATCGCAAAAAACTTTTCAAGAACGCCCTATTTCAGAATTTTATTGAAAAACACCCTCAATCAGGATTTGGTTGGTTGAACGCCCTATCTCAGAATGCGGCAGCTAAGATAGCGCGTTTTTGAAATGAATTCTGAAATAGGGCGTTCTTGAAAAGTTTTTTGAGATAGAACGTTTTCGAGCTGGCTGTCGATATGCACAGTACATACTTAGTTAACAATTGTTTAGGCCTTATGAATTTCCATAGATAACTATGCTAGTGTGCATATGATTCTTATGGGTCGATTATGGATAGCAGCGCAGCCTCAGTCGCGGATTTCAAAGTTTAAGTTCTTTTTAAAAAATATATTGAAACACACATAACTGTTGGCTACCAAGTACAAAGTTGGAGCAGTTCACTACTAGTGAAGAATTTTGTCTACCTAGGAACCAGCACTAACACAACCAATAATGTCTGCCTGGAGATTAGACTTGCTAATTAGGGCTCGGCAGGCAAACGAAATGAATAAAGCCCGCGAGCTCTATTTTAAATTGAAAAATTAAAAATTTAAAACGGATTAAAAGCAAACTTCAAAAAAAAAACGTTCGTAAATGCATCATCGACATTTTTTTCGAATTACTGCAGAAAAATGGCGTACGGAAATGCATCATCAAAAAAAGTGTTTTTTTTTAATAACGGAATGACAAAAAAATAATCAAGTGCACCCTGTGAATAGCAGCCCTGTGCGGTTCCTTCCAAATCAACGTCTAAGCCTTGTGTTTTTCCCGCCATCTGTGTGTCATTATTGTAAAAATTGCAGAATACGTTCACTACCAGTGATCGGACGCTTCTCCGATAAGAGTACATTTAGTCCAGTTATTGAAATATTTTTAAATCACTCCTCCCCTCTGATTGACTGCAAACCTTTTTCGTTTTTTCACTCACCATTCATTTATAGAACAATGTTTTTTTATACAATTTCACAGCCAGAAAAATTTCATCAACTCTTTTCTTTTTGTCACCCATTTCAATTACGAGAGGAATGTGTCTTTGCTAATTTGGACACTCTGTACGTTTTAAGTGCCACCGAGGAAAAAAGTGTTATTGGTGTACCGTTATAAATACGCCATACAAAATTTTGAGAGCGAATTACCTCATTTGTTGGTAATTCAGAACCAATTACCATGTGAATTACGAACAAATCGGTGCCGCCTCTAATTTTTATCAGAAATTTACGAAACTAGCTCACAAATCAAAACTGGCATTTTTCTGAGTACGAAAAGTAAAGTTTATAAATGAGCAATAACCTAATTTAATACGGGAACTTATAAATTTTTAGGAAAAACCTACATTTTGCATAAATTTTCCAGCGAAGAAAACAAAAACAAAACACAGAGACAGAGAACTGTCAAATCGAATTAAGAATGTGCCCGTGGGAATGGGATACTTCGCGATTGTAATTGGGGGAGCGAACAAAGTAATTCAGGATGTCGTGGGAAAATAGTATTAATATAGTTGCGTGTAAAAAGTGACCCAATTTTCATAACTCCCTGGGAACAAAGAACGTAGATAACAAGAAGATACAACTCGTTATAATTGTAGCGAAAGTAACAGGGGTGCGCCTTCTCTTTTCATCCAATTAAAAAACGTACTACAGTAAAAGAGAAGGAACTACCTGAGCAGACTGAATGAGTGTCCGTCATGCGGAAAGACACCCCACGACTTGAGGCATTTCTTCGCATGCCCACTAAACCCTACTCAACTGACGCCTCTGTCTCAATGTACGGGCCCTATAGATCCTGCACGCTTCTTGGGTCTCCCGTTGGTAGAGCTCGACGACAACGACTTAGGAACTAGCCGATCTGGGCGGCGTTGTTGAGGCAACAACAACAACAACGGTTTTACGCCGACTCCAATTCTATTTTTATGAGAAGCTTTTTCATGACATTAATACACTCGAAGGACGACTACACACGCTCGGAAAACCGTCTCTACAAGACTTTGCCGAGATATCCAAGAGTGTTATCAACATTCATTCCGTTAACGAAATGGTCTGATGCAGAATGAGCGTCGCAACATCGTAGGGCAATGAAGATTGTATATTGCCTGCCCTTGGCCAAAGTATAGGGGGAATCACTCTCTATCCACTGCAACCTTAAATTAGCATACCACCGATATCTGCTGTAGATTCACCACTGATTCCTTGATTTAGATAAATTTCAGTTTTGTTTCTATATAAGTATTGTATGTATGTATATTTTCACAAAACAATTATACAATTAAAGTATTATAGTACAATTTACTTGCATCTTTTAAGGCTTTGTTATAACTTATAAAAAGCACAATTCTTAATTTATTTTTCGACTAAACTAAATTTTTTTAACATTATGCTTTGTAGTTCACGCTATTGCCTCTGCTTTATTTAGTTGGGTTTGAATTTGTGTGCTAGAAGTTATACATTAAAATTTCTAGAATTAAAACTCAAAACAAATAAAACATATTTATTAACATAATCCTTAAAAATCATTAAAGTACAAACGAAGTTTCTGTGCAACTGAATCAATTATGTAGTAACGCAAAAATACACGTTGGAGTTTAAGGTTAATGGATGTTGATGATAGACTCGCGTCCTTTTCCGACACCTACCCATTGTACGGGCACATTCAGCTCCTTTTCTAGGAAGCGTACGTACTTTTGTGCATTTTCTGGCAACTCCTTAAAATTTCTGATATTTTCGGTACTTTCTTGCCAACCCGGCAGTGTGGCGTATTCAACAACTATCTCGGCCAATTCAGCAATAGTGCCGGGGAAGTGATCTAATGTTTCCCCATTAGCGCGTTTATAACTACACAAGTGTTAATAAAAACAGAGAAATTAAATTCCAAAACTTGGGTATCGTAGTATTTATTATACTCACGCCACAGCCACTTTAATCTCTGGCAAAGTATCAAGAATATCAAGCTTCGTCAGGCAAATGCTCGTATATCCGTTCACAAGCGACGTATATTTGAGTAACGGAATATCGAGCCAGCCACAGCGACGTTTTCGCTTTGTGGTAACACCGATTTCAGCGCCGCGAGTTTGGAGCAGCTCGCCGAATTCCTGTAAACGTAGAGTTAATAATAAAATACTCACAAGTAATCAAATACTTACATTAAGTTGTTCGGTTGGGAACGGACCATCGCCTACACGTGTCGTATAGGCCTTAACTACTCCAATAACCTCTCCAATAGTTTGAGGTGGCAAACCAAGACCAGTAAGAACTCCACCTATACTACAATTGCTGCTGGTCACATAGGGATACGTGCCAAAATCAATGTCCAACATAGCGGCATTGGCACCCTCAACTAAAATCTTCTGCCCCTCCCGCAATGCAGTGTGTAAGAAACAAATTGTGTCCTTTACATAGGGACGCACCTTCTCCGCATACTCCTTGTACCTGGCTATCTCAGCGTCAACATCGATTTTGATCGAAGGAAAAAGTCGCAAATGAGTTGCAACAATTGATTTAAATCTAAAATTGAAATTAACAAATGATAAGCCTAACTCAGTTTTCTAAGAGTACAACAATCAGGGAATTATTAATAATTTACTTGTCTGTGAATAGGTTAAAGTCACCCAACAATTCACCAACACGAATGCCATTACGTGTAGCCTTGCTGGAATATGCCGGACCAATGCCCTTTTTGGTGGTGCCGAGCGACTTGCCACCCTTCTCTGCTTCCTGCATGCCATCAACCAGTTGATGGAAATCAAATACCAAATGCGCACGATCGGAAATAATCAAGCGATGTTCAAGCTTTTGCAAGCCTTTTGCTTCATTCTTGGAAAGTTCTTCAAAAAGTGATGGCAAGTGGATGACAACGCCGTTGCCTGTAAGAAAGGTGTTTCTTTAATTTTAAATGCAAACATTCTTTTGAATCAGTGATTTTAATCATAAATCTAAAAATGTTAATGTATTTAGTGTACTTCAATATTCTATCTTTTATGTAATAATCATTTGCAGTATCCCCCGGCGAATTTATCTCGCTAAGTTGGTTACCTCACTCTCTTGTTTTAATAAATAGTTCTATAAAAAAAGATTTTCTTAATGAAAAGAGTTCGGTTAGTTAGTGTCGCAGGATAAAAATAAGTTGTGCAATTCCGTATGCCCTATGTATTCAGCCCAGCAGCAGTGTTTAGAAGCTCGGCATGTTTTCGGAGGAGAGATGTGACAACGCTTTTTTAGTGACAGGTTCAATTGACTTTGTAGATGACCCCTGACTTAGTTCTACGATGCTGCCTGTAGTTGCCGTTTGTTTTGCCTCTGTATATAAGCTGTGATGCCAAAACCTATGTACATATGTACATTTATTTAAAGAAAAAATATCATTTAACGCCTGATGGAAATTCAGCATTAGAAACGATTAAGTTTATTTCAACTTGAAATGTTTAGTGGAAATGCGGCGAGACATTTGTTGGTTGTTAGG